GCACTTAGATTTGTGACTTAGCTTATTAGCCCAGCTGGGCTTTTCCTTCACAATATAAAGGGAATCATACAGTATTTGGCTTTCTGTGACTGGTTTATTTCACTTAGTATATAATGTCCTCCAGGTTCACCCATGTTGTGGCAGGTGTCACAACCTCCTTCCTTTTGAAGGCTGGATAATATCCCATTGTACGGATAGACCACATTGTGTTTATCTGTTCACCCACTAATGGACACTTGGGTTGCTTCCATCTTCTGCCTGTTGTGGACAGTGCTGCTGTGAACACGGGTTCAGTCAGTATTTTGAAAAGCAACACTCACTGCTTCCTCAGCACACAGAACCACTGTTGCTGGTAATAAAAGCTCAAAAGTCTCTGTTGAGTAAATGCAGAGGGGACCTGACACCTACAGAGCAAGTGCTCATGGGACCCTCTTCCCCTCACAGATGGAGAAACTGAGGCAGAGAAGTCACGCCCTTCCCAGGAGCCTAGAGCCAGGATTTGAAGCTACGACATCCTGCTTTGGGGACCCTAGCTCCCTGCCATCCTTCAGTCCAACCCCTGCTTAACAAACCTGAAACTGGCTGTCCTTTGCGTGGAGTGAGCTGCAGAGAAGTGGGCGGCAGTACAGAAGGGAGATGCACTGAGTGTCACTGGCCTAGGTTCAAAACCTGACTGCCACATGAGGGCTGAGGATCTGAACTCCCCCAGCCTGTGAAACAGCCTGGTGCCTGCTTCAGGAGACTGTCGGGGATAAGCCAGGAGGCCCCATGGGAGAGGCATGAGGAGGTGGACAATTACTAGTAAGCAGTGACTATCACTCTAACCCTGTCTGTAATGGGTACTGAGCACACACACTTTCTGCATTTCCTAGAACACTGATATGAGTTCTCTTGGAATGCAGCTGCCATGCTGTGAGGAAGCCCATCTGTCCTTCAGGAGAGAGACCATGTGGAGGAGACCCAGTTGTCCCAGCCAAGCTCCCTTCTGAGTGCAGCTGCATGAAGAGGCTTCAATGACACCACATGGAGAGAAGAAGCACCGAGTCAATCCGTGTAACTGTGAGAAATAATACATTTTGCAGTTGAAGTTGTTCTGTTGGGGCTGGCTTGTCACACAGCATTAGCTAACTGAAACACCTTCCACTAAAGCAGTTTGCTGAGAGCATGAGGCATGACTGTTTTGCTCCCTACTGTGTCCTCATTGCCTGGAACATTTCCTGGTAGATAGTAGGTGCTCAATTTGTATTTGTTGAAGGAAGGAAGGAAGGAAGGAAGGAAGGGAGGAAGGATGGAAGGGAAGGATTTTTCAGAACTCTGTGTCCCTGGCTGATGTCCCTGAAATGTAGGGGGAAGCCAGTAACTGCCCTCCAGCCTCTATGCAAGTATCTAGTGTGCGTTTAGGTGGAGGGCGTACTTATGTATACAAACGTTCCTCAGAGATACTGCAGATTCAGTTCCAGACCACTGCAATAAAGCAAATATCACAATAAAATAAAGCAAGTCACATAAAATTTTTTGGCTTCCCAGTGCATATAAAAGTTATGTCTACACTATATGTCTACTATTAAGTGTGCAGTAGTATTACATCCCCCAAAAACAAAAACAAAAAAACCTCTCAACGCAGTTCC